AAGAAAGAGGCCCCAGTTAGCCAAACAACTGAGGGGCAGAGCTGAGACCAGAATCAGATTTCTTAGCTCCCAACCTCAAGCCCTTTCCATTAGGGAAGAAAGAGTTGACCCCAAGTATGATACCGTGATTTATAATAGAAATATATATTTGGGTTTTGTCCTGTTTCTGGTGTAGAGCTCCTAAAACTCTTGGAACTTCCTAACATAGTAAGACGGATATTTGGTCTTTTGTCATCACTTCCTGAAACAGCTCCAGAGACAAAGGTGAAAGAATGAAAGGAGTGTCTTGTTACTCATAACCAGCCCCTTTCAACCACACCAGAGTTTATGTTAAGGAGATGACTTTTGGAAAGCCCCTAGGTAACCTAAGGATGGGGGTCAGTTGCCAAGGGAACCAACCATGTGATTAGAGGACTGGGACTTTCAGCCTCACCCTCGAGCTGAATATTGGATCAATTACCAATGGCCAATGATTTAATCAATCATGCCTATGTAATGGAGCCCCCAAAAAACTCCAGATGGAGCCCCAAAAAACCCCTGGAGGGCTTCCAGGCTGGTGGACACACAGAGATTTGAGGAGAGTGGTGCACCTGGAGAGCGTGGCTCTGTGCCCTTTCCCTTCGCCTTGGTCTGTGTATCTCTTCCCTCTGGCTGTTCCTGATTTACATCCTTTTACAACAAACCATCGATCTAGTAAGTAAAATGTTACTCAGAGTTCTGGGAGCCACTCTAGCAAATTAAACAAATGTGAGGAGGGGGGTCATGGGAACCCAGCTGGGTCGAAGCAGAGGTGACAACCTGGGCTTGTGACTGGCATCTGAAGTGAGGGCAGTCTTGTGGGACTGAGCCCTTAACCTGTGGAAGCTGATGCTCTCCACATAGATACTATCTGAATTAAGTTAATTGTTTGGTGGTGTTGGAAAACACATTTCAGAACAATGTTTTAAGAAAGAGGTGGGCTGGGAAATAATATGTCTTGAAGGAAGTGTTACGATAGTAGGGAGAGACCTACATTCTAACGAAAGCAGGGTCAGTACCACTTGTATCACCTACCTCTGCCTGTGTGTGTATGTGTTTAAGGCTCAAAAAATAACTCAAGGTCTATTACATGAGTGGGAAAGGCCAAGATGACCTGGGTTTTCCAGCCTCAAAACCATGGCAACTTATCTACTGTCTGTGTCTCTGTGAACTTCAGCTCCTCATCTGAAAAATAGAGGAATTCACTTCCCTTTCAAGATCAAATGAGATAATAAATGCTGAAAAGAAGCTAAACAAGTGTACGATGGTATTATCATCATCAAGCACGGCCGTGCTCAATGAGGAGGAGGGAACGGGGCTGGAAGGGTGGGTGAGAGGTGGGGTTGATGGACCAGCAGGGCACCTTGGCCACGGCCGTGCAGAGTGCACTAGTGGTTGGCCAGAGGCCATTCCTGCTGGTCCTATCTGTTTCTTCTCTACTTCAGAGCATGGTGTATGGTTTTCCCATACAACCGATGTGGAACAACAGTCCCTGTCTAACTGCTACGGCACCCACCTGTGCACATGATGAGAAATAATAGCTTGTATTTACATTATTACAGGCAGTCACTGGGCCTTACATGGCTTCTCATTTACCAGAATATGAGGTGGGTACTAACGTTAACTCTATTTTGCAGAAGACAACACCAAGAGAGGTCAAGGCAACGCAGCCAGAGTCCCAGAGCTAGCACAGAGCAGCCAGGAAATCTGACCAGCACCCCCAACCAGTGTGCACCATGTCCCCCGAGCTGTGGGACAGGCTGACCAGCACAGGAGGAGGCACTTCCTGGCAAAAAGGATGTAAAATGCAACAGACACAGGGTATTACCAAATATTCACCTCAGACCGTCCACGTTGTCCCAGTAGTTTCTCCTGAAGCACCCATGGTCCTGGATAATCCCATAAACTTAAACAACTGTTTGTTTTTTTTTTCCTTGGGAATTCTATTAATGTGGAAGGACAGAGTTCTGCTTTTCACTTGGCACTGAGCCTATAGCACTGGTTGTAAGATGCTGAGTTTGCAAATTACCTTTTAAATGGAAAATAAAGGGCAAAAGGTAAGAGGGACAGGAAAACATGGAGAACTCCGGGGGTGGATGTCCCCACCCACCGTCTTTCCTAAAAGGTCATCTGACGATCAAGATGGATGCTACCACTCTACCGCCCCCATCTTTTCTCGTAATTGTCCAGTCATGACTCAGTATCAACAGACCTACAGAATGATAAATACTGTGATCTCTACAAGCTATCTGGAGGTTTAAAAAATATCTGGGAGATTTTGATACCATATGGGAAAAATGTCCCAACTGAATTAAAATCAGCCCTGCAAACAAAGATCAAACAATGGTCCACAAAGTCATCCAATAGACATGATTTTTGTCTAATTTCATGGGACTTTCATCAGCACCCAGGAAGCCCGTATAAGAGATGCTTTATTTTCCTTCATGAGACAGAACACTCCAGGTGGAGGCTTCAGGACACTCCCCAGCTGCACCCCTGTCCATCCCGCCCTGGAAGCAGGGTGAGCGGACAGCATGTGAACCCAGCTGCCTTCCTCTATCCATCTAATCTCCTATCAGAGGCGGTGCCCTGCCTTGTTGTGTCTTTAACAACCGACAGAGTGAAGGGAGGCATTGGTGAGCTCAGGCTTGCCAGTCAAGTCTGACACTGGT